TAAATAATTTTTTTCACGAAACTATTCTCCTAGTTTAAAAATTAAAAGGATGTACTATTACTAAAATGCTAATTCTAGCTAGTGCAATTGACAGCAAAAATCTCTATTGTGTAACAGTTATTGAATTAATAAGAAGACACCTATTAATTAAGTATGTAACACAAAAATTTGTAAACAGTATGATTTTTTGTAAACAGTTGTATAAGTAAATGACAAATAAAGTTATAAAAGGCTCACGGATCCGGAAAGAAAAGTGCTCAAAATTATGCTAAATTGACAAGTACTATCACATTACACCACAACGATTTAATATATAAAGAAAACCATCTGCCTTTCTGTCGCAGCAAAAGTTCACGTTGACGCACGCATTGTTTTTGCCAGTGCACTCTAAATATTAAAATGTATCGATTATTTATAATGCGATTATTAGGAATTTTTAAAATATAATCTAATAAATAAAATAATATCAATTTTTATACATTTAATAACAGCTGTGGACTGTTGTCTCAATCGCTCAGCAACTTCAAACAGAGCATCTGCCTGCATCTCTTGCGGAAATTATTGCCTCTGGGTTCATTCTACCAGATTTTGCGTTTTTTGCGTCTCTAGCAATTCAATCTGCGCTATAAAAGTCAATTAATTTAATACAATCAAGCGAATATACGCTAATATTATGGTGAATATACGGCCTTCAATACAGCGACAAGATGCGGCGAATCCGACCCTCGGCTTGCGTCATGTGATATGTTCTAGAGGTCCGGACACGAATGAATTTGGCCGGGGGGTTGTCTTGTGTTAGCTTAATTAATATTGGCGGAGATTTGACGCTATCGTTCAACTCCGCCAATATTCAACATGTGGTAATTTTTTTTCAACATATTTTGAACGTTGAAGTTGTGATGGGTGCTAAATTCGCGGCATGTTCAATGTCCGGTTTAACTTCAATGTCAAAAACACATGGGTGTTCAATGTCATATTTAACTTCAATGTCGAAAATATGTTGAATGTTTTGCATGTTCAATACCGGATTTATCTTCAATGTCGAAAGCACGTAGGTGTTGAATGTCCTATTTAACTTCAATGTCGAAAATATGTTGAATGTTCTGCATGTTCAATGTCAGATTTATCTTCAATGTCGAGAGCACGTAGGTGCTGAATGTCCTATTTAACTTCAATGTCGAAAGCATGATATACATGAATATTGGCGGTGATATGACGCCATATGTCCCATCGCATGCTAAAACAACAACGAAATATCTCTCCAAAGCGGGTAAAAATATAGTGGGAAATCGATGTTTAGATAAATTTAACAAATATTTATATAACCTAGCACGAAATATTAAGAAAAGATCAAAGAGATTCAAGAAAAAACACTTTAAAAACCCTAAAATTCACTTTTCGCTATGTAAAAGTATAGAAATTGTTTTGTTTTTGCATAATAAGCCTCGTTCTCGTGCAGTATGAAGGCGCGGCCACTAAGTTTCGCAATTGGTCTATACATGCAAATTATGTGTATTTTGATGTAATTAGTGCACTTTTCCGCGTAGTATTATGGGCAAACAATTAATTATTTTAACTAGGTTACCCAAAGGGCAGTAATGCTGCCTTTGACAGCAAAAGACAAACTACAGGGTGTTGAACGAGTCCTTCAGAAACATCCTATTATTGTTATGCTTGTTAACCCATTTATTGACAGTACCCTACCACTGACTGAGTATTAGAAATCGTCTGGCGTTGGACAGGGTACTAAAGTAGGGGTCATTACTGTGCTGATGGATTAACAAGAGACATTGGCAGATAGGTTTGTTAACCCATTTACTGACAGCATGCAGTACCCTATACCACTGACGAGTAAAATCTTCTGGCGCTGGACAAATTTAAAGGAAGGGCGCATTGCCAGCTAATGGGTTAAACCACTGTGGTTAAACATAAGATTTAATTTGATGCTCCAGGAAATGTAAACAAGCTATCAGTGTGACATCCCAGTTTATATATTTATATACTCGGAATATTGATTTCTCGGCATATACAAAATTTTTTTAAAGTATAACAACCAGCGAAGAAGTAAGCCACTAACGTTTCTAGTAAAATTTGCCCATTAAATGTTTTAAATGTATACACAAACGTTTTGCGACCGCCCACAGCCGACCTCTGAACTTTGATAAATAAAGCTGATTTAATATAATTGCGCGTTCCAAGTCTGTATCATACAGTGTCGATTTCTCACTCCTGCTTTGTTTCTCATGCGAAACAATTATGTTAAGTACATAAATACACAACGTAACTATATTAATATGGTTCGGCTCACCACAAACTTTCGTTGAGTGCCGATGTTTATTGTTTAGGACGTAACTCTGCAATATGTTGTTGTTAAAATTCCGAAATGTAATACGATCCGTTATGAAGTCTGCGCTCATGTCGAATATTTCACTCAATAATATATAGACACAATAAAGAGCAACAGTGATGTTATAATAATAACATTAAATGTTGAAAGTAGAGCAAAAACCTTTATAATAAAGGCTCGCCTTTGAAACCCAGTCACAGCGCTTCCAATTTACAACTTGTCTCGGCAAACACTTGTTCATTAATCATCACCGAACATCACACGCACGTGAAGGATTAGAGAAGCCGACCGAAGTGCATCATGGTAAAAAATACCGGCGACCACAATGCATCGCGCTTGGTTAAACTTCAGATTTCAACCCCCATATTAAAGTTTAGGTCTGCTGCCTTGCTCGATCGCTTCAGGCGACCTCGCTGCGGCAGCAAATATTTGTTTAGTGAGAATGCCTAGGTGCGTGAAGAATGAGTTCTTCTCAGTTTACTAATACCACGTCATTAAGAGACAAACCCCAACCATTACAAATAATAATTATTAAAAATTTAATCAAAATTTAATGGTTAGTCGCTGGTCCATCACCGTCTTTGTTATGGTTGGGGTTTGTCTGTGAATATTAATGATATGCATATTATTATTCTACGCGTACAGACAAGAATTGCTTGTACGCTGCCCCTAATCGAAAGTAAAAAAATCGGACATCGTCACTCGATCAGGAATATCGTTTAAAATCATCGTGTCAAATTTCGTTACGATCGGACTCAAAATGAATGAGTTAGGCTTTTTTTTAAGAGCGTCGCCCCCTAAGAGGAAGGGGAGCGGTTCCATGGGTATATTCACAAAATTATGGCTAGGAACCTACCAGAAACCGGGCATAGGCTTTTATTTAAGGCCCAGTTATTATAGTCCGTGTGTTGTGACCTCGAAAAGTGCCTAGAAAACGCTTTTGATTAAGCATGTCTTAGATCTGAAATATTTTTACGGGAACTAACACTTTCGAACACGCTGAGCTCAAGTCCGAAAAGTTCGCACTTCATAGACCCGACCGCAGTTTTCTCACAAACTGCTATTTTATCTTCACTAATTTCACAGCAAATTTTTTCATTGTTCAACGACACGGATCGATGACGATACACGATTATGCCACTCAACTTTTTGCCACTCAAGTGGAGAAATTTTGCCACGACGAAGTGGAGAAATGTGTATATGGAAGCCCTCTTTCCAATAATATTCGCTTATCGCACAGTGTAACACCAACGTTCTACGTTAAGGTTCTACGTTAAGAACTCTACACAATTCGATAAAGATTTCTCGATCGATTGGGATGTTGATTGGGATGTCAATATGTAACCACATTACTGTCGGTAACATTGCTTACGACAGGAAAAGACTCTCTTGGCATGACAGCTATGAACAGTTGAAGAAAACCGTCGAATCTAGCTTCAAACAACATGGCGAATGGTGGTCGCCTGGCGGCAGCGCAAAAAGATTTGATAGCAGTATATCTGACTTTACGCGGCAATATGGTATCCCGGTAAGATAAATAGTCTAACGTTTAATGGTAAAATTGGCGATTATGTTAGGGATTTCCTAACAAACCTATGCGTAGCTATGTCTATATCAAACGAGCCTAGAGAAATGGTTAATGAGCAAACCGAACTTAGCCCGAGTATTGAAAATGTTAGTCTGGATATAGAAATTCTACAAAGCAGAGTAGATTCTATGCAATGTATGTATGTATGTAAACTTTATTTAAAGACGTTAGCCTCGTCAACGATTTGTTGATTTTCACGAGGGACGTCTGTTACTATTAAAAATTACAAATATGATATAGAAAAGAATAAAGAATTATATACAACTATTTACAATACAAGAATTAAGTTCCAAACGGTGTGACCCATATTTCTAAAGCATGCATATACAGTATATTAGAAGATGTTAGCGTGAAACTTTCAGGCAGTTTTTAAAAGAATACATTGATTGCGCTAGCTTCGCATCAGAAGGAAGACTATTCCATAATTTAGCTCCGCTATACTTAAAGCTTTTTTTTAGAAATTCTCGTTTTGGCTTAGCAAGGGTAAGGTCAGTATAAGTATTGCGAAGATTATAACTGGTTTGAACAAGGTCCCTTCTCGTTAGAGCATCCTTCAAGTTCGGCCCAGCTCAATCATTCAGGACTTTATACATTAATGTGGATTTAGTTGTACGTTGTCTTATCTCTAAATTTTCCCAAGCAAGGGATCGAAGAACATCAGCAGACCTTATTTCATAGCTGGCGCCGGTTATAATTCTCGCTGCACTGTTTTGGAACTTTTGAAGCTTATCTTTCAGCTATTGGTTACAGACGTCCCATAATGGACTACAATAATCAAAATACGGTTCTATCAAAGCTCTGTAAATGGTATGCAGGGTATTTATAGGAACATATGGCTTAATTCGTTGCATTGCTCCTATGCCGGCCCCAACTTTCTTACAAATCATTTCAACATGCTCATGCCAATTAAGGTTTTCATCAAGTTTAACCCCAAGGCATGTGTATGAATGAGCAAGAGTTATGAATTGGTTATTCATCATTACTGGAATATCATAAGTCATAGTATCAGCATTATACTTTGAACCGATATACATTAATTTGGTCTTAGTTGGGTGGTGTTGCAGTTTATTTCGAGCAAGCCACTCACCGACTTTTTTCAGGTCATTATTTAGATTTTCAGTAAGTTCCTCAATAGTTTTGGCAGAAGTAGAAATTTGAGTATCATCAGCGTATAGGTGTGGCGAAGTTTTTTCGAGGCATTCGGGTAAATCATTAATATATAATAAAAACAGCAAGGGACCAAGAATTGATCCCTGCGGAACTCCGCACACAATCGTTTTAGGTGATGACATTGCACCGTTGACAATGCATGCTTGCTCTCTATTAGTTAGATAGGACTTAAACCAATCCAGTTCCACATTTTTTATTCCAAATTGATCATTCATCTTTTGCAATAAGATTGTATGATCAATAGAATCAAAAGCTTTTCTAATATCAAGGAAAACAACACCACTCAACTGACCATTATCCATGTTCTCATAAAGTGTGTCACACATTTGAATGAGTGTTGTTAAAGTTGAATGCTTAGGCCGAAAGCCAGATTGATGTTTAGATAGCAGCGAATTATCATTCAAAAACTTATAAATCTGGTTGAAAACCGATCTCTCTAGTATTTTACTGACAATAGGCAATATAGATATCGGTCGGTAATTTTCACATCTTTGTCTATCATCAGATTTAAAAATTGGCATTACCCACGCCTTTTTCCATTCATCAACATATATCCCAGTTTTGATTGAAAGATTATAAATCCATGTTAATGAAGGACCAATAACTTCCGCGGACAATTTAAGAGCTATAGCAGTCTTTGATTTAATAGTCAATTTAAGAGCTATAGCAATCTTTGATTAACATACACGATGACTTATTATCAGGGGCTCATGATTTGGTAAATGAGGTAACTCGAATGCGTTTAGAACTCGAAGAAGAAAAATTAAAAAACCTCAGGTTAGAACAACAAATAAAGATCCTGAGTGACGAAGTTAACAAAGAAAATCAGGCCGTCGCCAAGCTTCACTAACACCAACAGTGCCTCAACCATAGAGAGCAACAATAATATACAAATTAACGAAAACAATGGTCCAAAAACAAAGGACATAGATAGCTTGGTCCCAAAAATCCACTTAACTAAACAATCAAAAGAAGATAGTCTGTATAATTTACAAAATCATGAACCTGAGGATATGCAAATACCTGCAGCTACAACCGAATCATTCAACCATCAACTTAATAATTATAAGATGAAACATAATTTAAAAATGAAAATTAAAGCCCAGCAAATGACTTTCAGACAAGACATAACAAAAATATAAAATTTATTTATTTATTTTTTTTATTCATTGTTTGCTAATATATTCCTATCTTTTCATGAGAAATCCTGGCTAGCTGACTGCCCTTCTCTTTTTAAGCCTATATTCTACCGTCGATATGTTGATGATTGTTTTCTTATTTTCACATCACGTGACCATGTTACTCCTTTCCTCTCCTATCTAAACTCGAAACACCCCAACATTCAATTTACTCATGAGCTTGAAAGTAATTCGTGCCTTCCTTTTCTAGATGTCAAGGTCATTCGATCTAACGGTTCTTTCGCTACCACGGTTCATCATAAATCTACTTCCACCGGATTGTTTACCAATTTTGACAGTTTTATTCCAATGCTGTACAAGAAAGGTTTACTTTTCTCCCTTATTTCTCGTTACTTCAACATTTGCTCTTCTTATGTATTTTTCCATTCTGAAATGGAAAAATTCAAGAAAACGTTCTCCCTTAATGGTTATCCTGCAACACTTGTTGATAGTTGTATCAAATCATTTCTTGATAAAATGTATAACTCTCGAGATAAAGTTCATACTTGCTCTAAAAAGGTTATATATTTTTGTCTTCCTTCCACTGGTCATCATGGTTTGCAAATTCGATCACAACTTCAGAAATTTCTTTCTTCTGCTTATCCACATATTCCCTTACGTGTCGTCTTTCGTCCTTCTTTCCGTCTTTCGAACTTCTTCCCATTTAAGGACAAAATTCCCTGTGAACTGAGATCGCATGTTGTGTATTTGTATAAGTGTCAATGCTGTGGTGCATTGTATGTTGGTCAAACTCGCCGACACATACACACGCGTATCTCTGAACATATGGGTGTTTCACCTTTGACTGGAAAGAAACGTTCTGTTTCAACCATGTCAGGCATACTCGCTCATATCCATAACACTAAACATCAAATTTCACCCTCTGATTTTAAAATCCTTTCCACTGCTACTTCTGAAGCGGATTTACTCATTCGCGAAAGCCTTTTCATATCTAAACTTAATCCTATTTTAAATGCCAACATTAGGTCAACTCCTCTTGACCTATTCTAATGCTTTGCTATAGGTCTGTAATTACTAATAATTACTAACCATTATATCTTTAATTTACTAATATTTTTAATGATAGGTTGTTTTTCATCCCTTCCTCTTATTCGCTTATTTGAATAATGTATAACCGTTTAAAATTTGTATATATGAATGCACGCTTGTAAATCAGTTTAATTGCTCTGCAGATGTTGTGAACAATACAACGAAACGTTAGCCAATAAATTTTATATTTTTGTTATGTCTTGTCTGAAAGTAATTTGCTGGGCTTTAATTTTCATTTTTAAATTACGCTTTCCACCCGGTGTATCAATCGCTACTGTTTTAAGATGAAACATGTTAAACAACGCTCATCACATACCTTAATACCAAACGCTATAAAACAAACAACTAGCGAGCCGCCCCCAAAACGTGAGAACAAACGACCAAATTTAAAAATAAATCCTTCGTTCGATCAGCAATTAAAGGACTATAGAACCAAACATGATAGTCAATGCCCGATATCCACAACAAAACAGCAACCAATAAAAGAAAACAAGAAAACATCAGTACTTGGTCATAATCAGCAAGCTGTTTCATCTAGCAAACAACACGTGAACTATAGAGAGAACAACACTATTACGCTAGAAATAAACACAACAACAAAATACGTTCAAACCACAATAGGTTTAATAAACCTACACCAAAACCGGCAAATC